TCCTCTAGGTCCAGTGAGTCCTGGAACATCCGGTCCGCAATTATCACCATGATCTTAGCATATCTTAGCCTTAATTCAATACATCCAGCTTTTATTACACATTGTTCATCAAAAGGCAATGACAGACCATATTTAGTGCCATTTCTACTCAAAGGTAAATTTCATATTTATAAATCTGTGTAGTTAAAATACGTATTCATCTAGAAACACATCATGAGATTGTATTAACTGTGTAAATTCGAAGTAGAAATTTTCTAACAAAAAAATAAATATAGTTTCAGTGGGTCACAGCGCCTGAAGCACACACTACAGCTTATGTAATGCTTTATGTAACTGACCGAATACGTGGAAGCATGTTTCCAGGTTTTCTTTTCACTCGCTGATTGTCATCGTCGTCTTTTTTAATTATTTATCTCATCTCGTCATTCGAAGAAATACTACTTCCTTAATGACGTAAAATTGAATAGACTATAACATTACTCCTACACGTAAAATCAATTACTGTTTTCAGTTGAAACATGACTGTCTCGTGTGTACTTAAGCTCTTCTTTCAATTAATGCAGACTTTCTTAAATTATAACGAACCTTCATTAAAACGTGAACCTTATTGTACATCCACACAATAAGTCCTTACACAAGTTTGTTACCAAAACATTCTGAAGAAGACAGTCATCTTCAAATACGTACGTACTTAATCAAGTTGGGCCTACGCGTTAAGTAATAATAACGTTTACGTATGTATAATTTTGCTTTATTGTTAAATTGCTTTAGTTTTTGTACGAAATAGAACTGAGAAACAACGAAACATAAATAATGTAAATTCATTTATATTCTGAGACATAATTAGTTATATTAGTTAAAGCGTTAAAAATATTTATTTATTGTAATTGTCCGTCTGTATACTTCTGAATTTGCAGACGGGTTTCTGATTTTTCAGCCGCCTGTAGTGAAACTTGCATCTGGGTTAGAGCCATGAATGTTCAAATTAAACAACATAGAAGTGTAATGATGCAAAATTCTCTGCACTACATTTCACGGAATGCATTCGATTTAAAATCGCAGATTAATAACAAATTTCTCCACATTTGTATAGATCAGTGTCTTTCGAGTAAAATTGTATTCACTGGTTGCTATATAATAATGTTATCGTTTGAAAGATAACATTAACACAAGCTCATGGTTATGAGGGACTATCTTATATCTATCACGTTAGACTCGAATAGTAACTACACGCCTCATTTTCTTATAATTTTTGTGCAAGTAACATTTTATTGCTTTAATTAAAAGTTTATAGACATTAAGAGAACACCAAAGTTAAGTGCAATTATGAGGACTTTCCTGTGTCTGTAGAATTGTACTCACTGGAGCGGTAAACTTAAATTACAAGTCTGATTACGTAAAGCAAATGGTTTTCTCACCTCGTGGCCCCTTGGGGCCCGGGGGACCATGGGGACCTGTTTCTCCAGGACGACCTGAAAAGAAACATTTTCAGTTTTACAAAAGGAGAAAGAAATAAGTGTTGGCTTTTGTGATAATGATCATCTGGGTTTTGGTGCCGTGGAGACTCGTAGGTAGATTTTTATGATTCGGAGAAACTTAGCCTGCATCTTCAAGGTTGAATTAACGATTATGAAAAGTGAAGATATTTAGCCTATGCAGAGTTTGAATGGAAAGTTTCAACCCTATATGAATCCTTCTCACAAGACGAATCTGAATTGGCCGTAAGATTTACATAATATTTTCCGTGTGTCATGTTGAAACTGAATATCTTAACAAAACGTAGGTGGAGTTAAAAATGAGATACGAAAGATTAGACGAAATTCAGATACAAAAATATCAGAAAAGCTTTACGTTGTCTTTATTGTTATTATAAATGTCGTACGTTTTTTAATCATGACGTGTATTGGTTTAAATTCGCTGTAGGGGCGGCGTTCATTTGTTTTGGTTTCATTTAGCATAATTAATTGGAAAGGTAGATAAATTTGTAACACTGTGTCTTATCTATCCCCAAAATATTCAAACAGGTCTTTTAAAATATTGTTCTGTGACCCAGATAAGAATCATTGCTTCATACTCTATAGTAGCGGAGGCTTTTCCTCCCCACCCTCACCGCGCAGCTCCTATTTAACAGTACAAGATTTATATATTTGCAACGCTGCTAGTTCTGAGCTGTCTTCACTCGCCTCGGCTGCACTCTGCATTTTGTAACGTTGTGACCCTGAAGTATGCAATTTGGTGTCTGCTGTTCTTTCAGTGTATTAACGGTAATGGATAGTCTGTCTCTATGAAAACAGCTATTATCTTGACCATCAGAACGACCTTTCAGGGCATATTCCGCTCCATGTAGTTAGTTGGTCTCGTTTAGTTAAATGAGCTCACTTCTGTACGGACCTGTTCAAATGTAAATAATATATTTGTATTAATTTACAGCCACGGTGGTCTAGCGGTTAGAACGCTGGCCTTGTAATCCTGGGGTCTCGGGTTCGATTCCCGGCGGTGCCCGAATTTATAACTTGTGTTGGGCAAGGCCGTGGTCTAGGCAACACGGAGTTTTCCTCCGGGGGCTTCCCCGGTTTCTCCGTGGCATCCTAACAATTACTTCATTCACACACAGAAGAAGGCAATGGCAAACCACTTCTGGATCATCTGCCAAGAACGTATATGAACAGGTCCCAGTCCGAGAAAAGGATGGAAGGATTCTGTTCATATGGACCTGTCGTCAGACAGAACACTAAAAATAAAAAAATAAATTAATTTACAGAAGACAGTAATTACATTCGAATATTTACATAAGCGCGCCTGTGATCCATAATGTTTAACTCATCTTAGTGAAAAGTAATTACCTGTTCCTCTACTTCGCTGGTTTTCTCCGGCACAGACTTTCTACACATCACTGAAGACTTCAGTGAGAGAGAGGGAAATGGGAGATGGAGCGAGTTTCAGGGTGGGATAATTTGCAAGTAAATTGTCGTTCCGTCAGACTCTGACCTCCAGGTTTCTCATCAGTCCTGCCAGCAGTACCAAGGAGATTAGGGCCGCATCATGCAGAATACAATTAGCCCCTCCGAGGATCTTGCGTTTAACGCGAACAGCTTGTGTATGGTATCAAGAAGATGCTTAAGTTACACAGCAGATGGTCCTTCTACTCTTTGTAACAAGAGTGTAAATGATTACTCTAGTTTCGCGGTTTTTCTCTCTCTGTTTACGAATATATCGGTATTGTGCCTTAAAATATGCCATGACATCTTCCCCGCATTAGTACAGATTCATCTTTAACAGTCACCCTACTATATTTCAAGTAACCCGGAAAACTTACGGATATAAGAACTACGTGACTTTAAGTGATACTAAATTTTCGCGGTCAAAATTCTTTCACACCAGATTTCCTTAATGAAACCAGAGTAGAAAAGGAATAAAAGATAAAGGAGGGAGAGGGAGAAATAAGTAAATAAATTTAAAAATAAAAATAGAGGCAAATAATGGAAGACAAATTGGGAAATATGTAGAAATCCACGAAAGAATATGTGAATGGAATATGACGCTTTAAAAGTGGGTCTGAGTGTGAGGTTTTAGAAAAAAAAGATACTGAAGTGTTTGAATAATTGTGAAGAACAGCTTGATATCTGCACTAAACTGACATGCAAGAAACAAATATTTATTCTTCGTCATCTTCACTTATTTTTTCTGTGAAGAATTCTTGTTTTAACGTCTTTCAGCTATGAAGGATGGCTCATTTAAAAAAAATATATATAGGAAACTGCGAAGTTTTACTCCGCGTTGTCTTTTACACGTTTTGAAGCTGAGAAAGCTACTTCATATTCTTCTTAAATGCTCTCTTTGTACAATCAGCCTTTTTCTTAGAAGAATTATTATTTTTTCATTCTTGAGTGAGTCTCTGAATTCTTTACTGTGAAAACAAAACTGCGAAAAGAAAAGTCAAAATCTATGAATTTCAAATGAAATGAAATTGAATCTGCGGTGAACCTCGGTACCTTCCTCTGGGGGCGTAGTATTTTTCAAAGAAATTATAAATACAGGCGATAAGCCCTCTGAAGATCGTTGTCGTCTGGGTTCTGGGTCTTCTGGGCTGTACTTTCGTTCAGTTTCATTTTTCTGCCACGGAGATACAACGCAGAATGCAGCCATCTTCGTATTCACCGTTGTGAGAATCTCAAGTCCTTCCGTGTCCTGTAGTTACACAATCGTGATAATTGAACGAAACGTATCGCTTTCTTGTCTGATTTGATGATGTTACTTTATTGCGTAAAAATATAGATATCATACGGAGTTGGTCTAGAAACGAACGCAGAGAAAACTATCCTATATTCAGGTATCATCAGATTGTAGAACAAATTTATGATCATACCTGTAAAATCCTTCGGAATTGTGGCAAAGTTTAAATATTTAGTAAAGATTTAAATAAAATTATACCCATGAGGTAGTTGAGAGTCTATTTAATTCTGGAAATATTTGATATACAGTTAATATTCCTCAATATTTCCGTTTTCTATCTAATATCTGAGGATTAATTATACAAAATTATTGCTTTACATAGACGTTAAATTTTGTCTTTCAGCCTAAGGAGACAAAAGTAAGTTAAGGATGTTTCAGAACGTGATATTTAGGTGTACGTTTGGACCTAAAAGGAAGGAAATAATAGAAGAATAGTTAAAGTTAAATAATTAGGATCTTCATAATTTGTGCTCATAACCGGATATGATGAAGGCGATCAGATAGAAGGAGGATGAGATGGGTGAAGCATGCATCACAGATGATAGAGATTAGAAATATCTACAAAATTTTATTCGGTACAAACTGAAGGGTAGATATCACTTACAACAGACGGGATAATAATATTAAAGCGGATGTTAAAAATGGGGTGTGACTGTGAAGAGGATTATTTTTCTGTGATTCGGGACCAGTGGCGGACTCTTGTGATAAAAGTAAATAGTCTTCGGGTTTCATAACGGGCAAGGATGTTCTTTATAACCTGAGTGATTATCAGTTTGTCAAGACTTTGGTCCATGGATTTTGTTATTTTATGTAATAAATACAGACTTTTTAAGGGAGAATTTTTAGAATACAAGATGTTAAGAATTTTTTTAATATTTCGTCGTATTTGGTTAATTCGGTGATGAACCTTCGGGTTCGGTAAGCCATCTAGTTATTTAGGTAGTTAATTGCATCGTATTTAAAATAAACATTAGTTGTATAGGCGGTCTAGTTAAGATCGAAGGTATAAATAGTGGTGTATTGGAGGATCCAAACGATAAATGATTTACCTAGTAAGGGGGATAACATAGTAAAGAGTTTGAGGACAAGTTTTCCATAGATTTTGCCGTTGATGCCTTACCGGAGGAGATTTATTACACTGAAAACGAAAGGTGCTCGAACCAACCTGTTCATGACATGGGTGACTTCATAGACCCGAGGCTATGAACATCGTCAAAGTAACTTCAAGAGAACGAACAGCTCTTGAACGAGAACATTGATGGGGATTTTTAGAAGCAGTGGAAATCCAGACAAATGGTTCACAATCTTTAAGCACTCCACCATCTCCTTCTTCGAATAGTCAGAATAAGTCCAAATAAAATTACTTTCCTCCCGTCCAATCGAACCCTTGTTCCCCTCCTTATATCGTCATGCACTTATAGGGGCCTATTCTGACAATGGTTATTTTTATTCGGTGTTTCATTAGCTTTTCTGTCTCGAAAGAAAGGAAGTTGGGCTTCTTAACAAGGGTTATGGTTCGTACTTTATATAAATCTAAAATGGAATTTAATCTGTTCTGTTCACACGGTTGTTTGTATGAAAGAAATTAGTAAGTTACGTAACGTGGAATGAAGTTCTTATTAGGAATACAATTTTCATTTGATAATGATATTGAGGTTCTGACGTAGATAAAGATGTCTTTGTATCTTCTGGGTTATTCTGGTTATCGTACTTTTGAAGGAATGCATCGTTTCCATCTTCAGTGTAAAAAGTTTAAATATTTTTGACATGAGTATATTTAACGAAATACAAGGTCAAATAATTTGTTTCATTGTAATGTTATATCTGTACTCAGTATTAGGTTTATATTTTCATCAAATAAATATTAAGAAGAGTGAGGGGTAAATAGTCTCTGAGGTCACGTCTGATAAATGTATTCTCCAATGAAATATGCCTCACTACTCATGTTACATTTAGCATAAATTAAAAAAAAATCATTTAATCCCAATTATTCTATTATTGCCCCTATGATACACCACAGATGATGGGGTAATCAGGAAATAGAAATTCTTTCTCATAATGTGTAAATATCCACACGTTAATTCTGACTATTTCATCGTGTAGCCACTCTAGACTTTACTCTGCTTTGCCGGCAACTGTTTAACTCTGTACGTGTTATTAAACAGGATAACTACTGAGTAATTCCATATCAGTGTAATCGGTACGCTCCCGAAATGAATTTCCCTCACACGAAGATTCCAATTACGATAACTCACTGCTATTGACTTACTTATAAGGCATCGTGAAACCAGTTTATGATTAAAGTAAACAAACACTGCTAACAACCTGACTCCCTCAGGAATTTTCTTATACTATGTGGTTTGAGGTTTTCATGGCAGTGAAAGTTTGGGTTATGTTCTGGGTTAGAACGCCGTGTGGTCTAATATGCGATAACAAACCACAACACTAAACGACGTTCTGACGAAAAACCACAATCCACATTGTATTTACGTTACATATATACATATACATGCACAGCTTAATTAGAACTAAGCACGTTAATTTTGTAGATGTGTTAAGAGAACAAATACAAGCTTATGTTTCACAGCGTATAAATGCAGATACAATTACGTTATGCGAAAAAAAAACTAGTTAAAAGTGAACACATTGATTTTGTGCATGTGTTAATACGACATATTCAAATTTAAAATATGCAGTTAAACATTGTGACTAGATTTTCCATTTTGTTCCTACGATCACGAGAAAATAATTTTAGCATGTTAGTGTAAGTGTCATTAGAGTTATTGAGGTCTAGAGATTAAAATTTTAACCAGTAATCTGTTTGATATTTGGGCTTCTCTTGGTAACAGCGACGGTCTTGTTTGTTATGACGTCATGTAGATTCTAGGTGGATATCAGCCCTGAAGATGGATACAGTATGTGCCCCTAAGAGTGGTCACATCCATTACTGCCTTTCAACCAACAGTTTGAATGCATTTATAATCTCCCCGATGCGTGCTACATGCCCCGCCCATCTCGTTCTTTTAATGACATCGCCCAAGTAACAGCTGGCGAAGAACACGTTGTGTACTTTATGGAAGGACTGGGTAGATTGAGTGGAATCTCTCAAAATGATTCAAAATTGTATCGACGAATTTCGCTTATTGACATATTTCGTCTGCATATATCTTGTTAAGCCCTTTAAAGTTTATTAGTAATGTGTCGGTATTTTAAATAGTTAAGACTGCATTTTGTATTTATTAGAGATTATTTTCTTAAACAGCGTTCTCTGTAATGGTGAAGTGCTGCAGTTTATTTGTTGGGTGTTATTACACGAGCTTCAGGTTCTGACGGTTAAATTATGATACGCGGAACCGTGCGGCGTAAAAAAACATATTCTGAACACAAAACACGAAGCAATATTTATCACACCGAGAAATGTGGAACTGTCGTGGCCTACCTGACTTGCATGCGGGAAGTACGCTGTTGCAAAATCCTTCTAATCGATGTTTCTTGTGGTTTCGCTCGGTGTGTTCCGTCCGTGAAAGTCTACAGGCGTGGTCAGAAACCCTCGGTTTTACGAGGGAACTTTCGTAAACAGATTTGTGCAATGATTAGCGAAAGAAACTTACCGTCAGTACCATTTGTACCAGAAATCCCTGGGATACCATTTAGACCTGGAGTGCCGGGGATACCGTCTAAACCATTTCTTCCAGGTATCCCGTCCAATCCAGGTTCACCAGGGACTCCGTCTCTTCCATCAAGACCAGGTAGTCCTGTGGGAATAAAAATTATTAATATACGTTCTCTGTTGTTCTCTGTTAATTTACAAATACTTTACATCTATTAAAGTAACTACGTATTAGCATAGTGATCTTGAAAAGCTGATATTATTGCGACTGGTCAAAATATTCGCCAAGATTTATGGAAGAAGTTCTTGTAATTGTTAGGGCTGCGTTTTAAATGGATCACTTCCATGCAGTGCAGAATTTTTTGTCTGCTGTCTAAAATAGGAAAAAAAATTACAATATACAAAACTATAATTTAACCAGGTGTTTTGTATGGTTGTGACACTTGGTCTCTGACCTTAGGGGAAAAAACAGGCTAGTGGTGTTTGGAAACAGCAGTTGGAAAAATATTTAAACCTAAGAGGGATGACATGACAGGATGCTTTAGAAAAGTTAGCAGCATCGAGCCTCATAATTGTATTTTTCTCCAGATATTATCGGGATGATTAAATCCAGGAGGTCTAGATGGGCGGGGAATGTAGAACTCATTGAGCTGACAAAAAGTGCGTACAAAATTTTAGCTTAAACGTGTGGAGTAAAGATGCCTCTCGAATGATCTAGGCGTAGTTGAGAGGATGATATTAAAATGAGTGTTAGGAAAATATTATAAGAGGGTGTGGATTGTGTTTGTGAGGCTTCGAATGGGCTTTTGTTAACACGATCGTGAACTTCAGGGTTCAATGAAAGGCAAGGAATTTATTGACTGTTAACTTCCTCAATAAAGATCGTGCCCCACAGACTAGTTTTTAATTTGTTGATTATAAACGAATTGGAATGACTGCCTTGGCCTAAACCTGCTTTGCCAGGCCGAAGGTGAGAACCCACATTTCGTATAACTCGGAGGAATTTTTATTTTTCGCCGATAGTGGGTCGTATTGAAGATGACGTTGTTTGATTGAGTGGACCTGCAGCTTAAAGCGTGGGAATCCGAATCGGGAGAGGTCTGGGGGAGGTGGGAATAGAGGGGGAATGCGCAAAAATCCGCACTGGATCTCGATCTCGAGATTTCCATCACGTAAAGCCGACGCCTCGAGAAAGTAATTTTGGTCTATTTATACTTATGACCCCAACATTTTCCACTACGACGAAAGGGCTGGATAGCATTATGTATCTCAAAATACGTTTTTGATGAAATATTTAGTTACATTGTAACAGCGTCAGAGTTTATTAAGAATAAGAATGTACATATTTACAGTACCTTTGTTCCTTTGTCTCTTAAAACTCAATGAGAATTCATAGATACCCACATTAAGTAATTTTGTTACTTACACACAATGAATCCAACAAAATAGCATAATAAGTTTTGATAATAACAGCAACCAATCATGTTTCGGCGCTCTAAGTGGCCATCATCAGGGTACTGTGTTACGCTAAAGTATTGACGAGCTCTGCACTTGAAGATGTCCCTTTAAAGGGTCGAAACATGTTGGATTGATAGTTGGTGTGTATGAAATAGACTATTTTGTTTATAATTCTGATGACTTTATTATGAATAATATCAGATATTACAAGGGTATGATAACCAATTTAAAAAGGAATGTCGTCTTATATCTCTTTTATGCTACATTTTTTAAGATAAATTTCACCGTGGCTAGTAGAAAAAACTAAACAATTCTACCACATTTTATGGAAAAGGGGAGTAAAAATATAAAAATTTTGCGAACTATTATATATTTTGTGCCCAAAATACATTAACTGGACAATTTTCTTTGCAGGCGCCTATCTTCAATAAACTACCCTCTCTCTCTCTATCGTATATATAAAAATCTCCCGTTCCTTGATGAACATTTTAATTTATCACCTGGTCTATGGGGGTGTTAGCTTTAAAATTCTCGTTTCAGTAGATTCAATTTTCCGCCTGTCAGTTCTATTAATAACCCAGTTTTCATTACTATTATGAGATTCGTTTAGATTCTGACAGAAATTCGATTCGGTTCGAGGCCTCATTTTAATATTATTCATCCAAATATTTATGTATGTCAACTGGTATGAAATTAAGTACTAATGAAGCCCCTACGTACTGAAATTTTTATTTTCAACATAATGTAAGCGACAAGTGTAAAATCAGCCTCTCGTATGTATTGTGTACAGAACCAAGACACATCAGGTAAGGTAAGTTATTAGTAGGAATATTTAGCGTTTCGTACGTTATCAGGGAACTGTATGCAACATCAGACACGAATCTTACCAGGCTTCTACTTTCTGTCAAAATAGTGCGTCTCTTGTCATCGCCACAGCGTTAGTTATGGGCGATGGTTTTCGCTCATAGAGAATGTGATGGACAGACAAAAATATATAGTCCTCTAGCTTGGGTACTAGTAAAGTAAAGTAAAGTTTGTCCCACTATACGCCATGTAGGCGCTTGGGGGGAGAGGAGGTATAGCTCCTCTATTCCTTGACCTCGGCACTAGATGGGGGTGAGTGGTCAGCATCACGCCCCGGCCGGCTTTACCCCCAGGAAGCTTGGGTACTAGTGGCAGCCTAAATAAGAAGTAATATTTAAAATACAGTTACGGGCTTATTAAATGTTAGGTACTGTTAGATCATTGATTTGTAGTTATTTATGGGTTTTTTTCAGAATTTTGTGAATTGTCAGTTCGTTAGGAATCAATATACGACTTTTCTCAAACTACGCCTTATTCGTGTTCCACACAGTTATTCTGCTGTGAAGATACCATAAACGTCCATGTCAATCCACAGTCTCAAACGCAGGTCGTGTTAATAACATCGTATCGTGTGTTCATATATTTTAGGATTAACCTCGAAATTTAAGGCATGGCAATTCGATCGTCTGTGGATGTATTCCTACTTTTTATACTAACCTGGGTCTCCTTTGGGTCCTCTGGGGCCTGCTTCCCCATTCATTCCTGGAGAACCAGGCAATCCGGGTTCACCGGGAAATCCTCTGTCCCCGTGGTCACCCTTGATTCCCTCGCCTCCTCGCATACCAGGGACACCTGGAGGCCCTGGTGATCCAACGGGACCAGGAGGGCAGTAGTCTCTGGTTGCCGAGCAGAAGTCTTGAATGGCTACTAGCTGCAGCGAGAAAGGACTGTCATTGTGACGGCAGCAACAAACTTAAGTTCACAATGAACGAATAAAGATGCTCCCTTTTATTCAGTTCAGAAACTTTAATGTTCTGTCCCGATTCCCAGACAGTAAATATTAAGACATACAGAGAGACTGTTCAACGCCTTTCAGTTTTTATACAGTCCTGCACAACAACCGCTGTACTATCCTTCTTGAAAACATCTGTCTGTATTTTATACTATCAGGTAAGGTAAGTTATTAGTAGGAATATTTAGCGTTTCGTACGTTATCAGGGAACTGTATGCAACATCAGACACGAATCTTACCAGGCTTCTACTTTCTGTCAAAATAGTGCGTCTCTTGTCATCGCCACAGCGTTAGTTATGGGCGATGGTTTTCGCTCATAGAGAATGTGATGGACAGACAAAAATATATAGTCCTCTAGCTTGGGTACTAGTAAAGTAAAGTAAAGTTTGTCCCACTATACGCCATGTAGGCGCTTGGGGGGAGAGGAGGTATAGCTCCTCTATTCCTTGACCTCGGCACTAGATGGGGGTGAGTGGTCAGCATCACGCCCCGGCCGGCTTTACCCCCAGGAAGCTTGGGTACTAGTGGCAGCCTAAATAAGAAGTAATATTTAAAATACAGTTACGGGCTTATTAAATGTTAGGTACTGTTAGATCATTGATTTGTAGTTATTTATGGGTTTTTTTCAGAATTTTGTGAATTGTCAGTTCGTTAGGAATCAATATACGACTTTTCTCAAACTACGCCTTATTCGTGTTCCACACAGTTATTCTGCTGTGAAGATACCATAAACGTCCATGTCAATCCACAGTCTCAAACGCAGGTCGTGTTAATAACATCGTATCGTGTGTTCATATATTTTAGGATTAACCTCGAAATTTAAGGCATGGCAATTCGATCGTCTGTGGATGTATTCCTACTTTTTATACTAACCTGGGTCTCCTTTGGGTCCTCTGGGGCCTGCTTCCCCATTCATTCCTGGAGAACCAGGCAATCCGGGTTCACCGGGAAATCCTCTGTCCCCGTGGTCACCCTTGATTCCCTCGCCTCCTCGCATACCAGGGACACCTGGAGGCCCTGGTGATCCAACGGGACCAGGAGGGCAGTAGTCTCTGGTTGCCGAGCAGAAGTCTTGAATGGCTACTAGCTGCAGCGAGAAAGGACTGTCATTGTGACGGCAGCAACAAACTTAAGTTCACAATGAACGAATAAAGATGCTCCCTTTTATTCAGTTCAGAAACTTTAATGTTCTGTCCCGATTCCCAGACAGTAAATATTAAGACATACAGAGAGACTGTTCAACGCCTTTCAGTTTTTATACAGTCCTGCACAACAACCGCTGTACTATCCTTCTTGAAAACATCTGTCTGTATTTTATACTACAGCAGTTGTTCGAACTAGTTACCTTCTTGGGTAAAACGTGCCAGGTTTATTTATTTTTCCTTCGACTGTTATCGGTTTTGGGGGAGAGATTTGTTGGAAAGTGGTCACTTGCGTGAACAGAAAGGAAGCGGACGGATAAAATTAAAACGGATTTTAGAGGAATAGATTGAAAAAAGTGAAATGCACGGACGTAATACAATATAAATGCGAACTGAATTTAGTCTGAAAGCTTGAAAACATTAGTCGTTCGGGAGTTATCAACTTGGGTAGATGGGTAGTTTTAAAATACATGTTAAAGAAAGGGGATGTGAGGAGGTATACTAAATTCGCTTAGAATGATGCCCTGTGATGAATTCTTGTGAATTTGAAAATGAGCCTTCGAGTTCTATAAAAGTCGATGAATTTATTGACTGAGTGACTAGCAGTTTCTAGAGGACGTTTCTTGTAATACGTTTTCATCAGTGCCCTGATATTCAAAAGTTAACTTTCATTGAGTTATTAGCCAGGCTTCATTAAGCCCATTGTATAAAGTCCGGATTTTCTTCGACAATTTCAATGGAAATTCTGTGCAGTATTCATAGAATGATAGTTCATAGAATATCAACAAACTTTCAGGCACCTTCTTTAAAGGGAAGTTTGTGTGTGCGCGTTTCTTTTCGTTTGGCAAACACGTGTATTATGATTGCAGAAGTTTATATTAATTATAAGACGTGTTTAAAAATTAATTTCCCGTCTCAAGAAAAGTTAGTCGTCTTCATTACAAAAATCAACTTGTTAATGCTGTTGAAGGTAATAATCACTGTTTAGTCTGAGAATCGAACGAGTGTTTATCAAAGTATTGATTAATATCATTAATAGTAGTGAACGCACATATATATTTTATGTATAGTTCAAGGCACATACTTGTAGAGTTCTGCAAGATTTCTAAATTGAAAATATAAATAAATAATAAATCTTTTATTTGAAAATAAATACTGTAAGCATATATTTATATTTGTTCGTTTCTTTATACAGATGAGATATTTGGAAGACAATCCTATTCAATTTATTAGCAGTAGATTTTTGCTAATATTGTGTTAAAACAATCAAATTTCTCTATTACACGCCGAAGAATGTGCATATTTAATTTACAAAATACGATTGAATTCAAGAAAAAAGTATCTGCTATTCCCTGTCATACATTTAATCTGTTACGTGCTGTAACCCGCACAACGAAAAGGAAGATTTTAACTGGAAAATGTATACGGATATGTAAGAAATTACAAATTATCTTCATTTCTTTTATCTGCATCTTTATGTTATAATGAGAAAGCTTCCAATTAATGTCTTTAAAATTTTAATTAGATTTTGCTTTCCCCTGTGTATATATTCTTGATATAAAGTAACCCAATGAAGAGTTAACATGGCTTGAAGTTACCAGCTCTTAAAGCTAACATCTGAAGCTTACTGGTGGAGCGTTCATGAACTCTATATAAAGGACCTTTTAAAACCACGAATATGGAAATTAATCACATCTAAGTTTTATATTCGGGAAAGTACTGCAATCAATCTTCTTCTCACGAAGATATGTGACAGGGTTTCCTCGCACCAAGAACTCCAGAACAATTCATCATTTGTTTTTGCTCCGTTCCTTTCTGTAACCTGAACGCCACACCTGTTGAAGGCACATAACAGCTACTCTTCTTTACAGAGTATGTGTGGGATAAACTAGGAGTTTAACATGTGTAATCCAGCACGGTATTGATTTACGTGATATTAATATTCTGAAGTCTGTCAGAAGACGAGTATGTGTTTAGTTAGCATAGGCATTGTATTCAGTAAGTAACATGACAAGAGCGTCATGCTTTCGATGCCAATTAATTAAAATTTTAAGGATTAATGATTCCCTGAATAATGAAAATATAAGACAACTTTACGGATTTACTTCACGATGAAGAGGCTTTTGTGAAAATATGATAGTCCCTCTTACGGGCAATAAATTCCCTTTTCTATGGAGTTCATTAAATTTTCATGTGATGCTTAAAAACTCTCGCTCTCAGACAATGTTCTGGTGCAGCTGAATACAGATCCTTCTATCAGATTCTACTCCTCTAAGGTAAATTTTAATATTGTCCTGTCATAATCGTCTAGGACTTCTGGTACTTCTCTTAAGTTATTGGTCACATTTTTAACCTCATTCTCAATAATCTACCTACACCAACAATGTTTGGTAAATAGTTGTTACCCTCATTTTTGTTTTTAAATATTCTTAAATAAATTAGCACCAAGTATTCTACTTATAATCTGTAAGTAAGCATTCTGTTGTAAAATATTTCAGTAATAGTGTTGAAATGTAATATTGATTCAGTAATGTCTAGTTGAGCGGAACAGAAATTTATACCAAGATTTAGGGGAACTATGTTTTTGTAGCACTTACCACGTCAGTAAAAACATAGGCATAATCTATGATGCTCGTGAAACATCACTACCACGTATTTTTATTTGATAAACAACCAGAAATTCAGCTGTGTGAGTAGTTTTTCTTAGTTACTCCAGGCGAGTTTTTAAATAGTACTTTGAAATAGGCTACTTTTGCCTCCTTCCATATCCCTACCTACCGCCATTCATTGTAATTTTCAAATTTAGTTCGAATCTGTGGGCCTGTGATATATGCAGCTGATACAGAATGAGTAGGGAGCGGTCTACCAAAATATAAAACATTGCAATATTCACGCTGAGACGAATTCAAATGATTCTGTCTTTGTTCTAATTACAGAAGCAAGAGTGACATGTTTATGTCAGTATTTCCCGGAAGATATAATTTACTGGGTATCCGATCCTTCACGTGAAACAGTGAAAATGTCGTGTGATTTATGGGTTATTATGGCCTTGATTGAACTGCGTACTCAGCTATCATGTATTTATTTACTTATTCATTTATCACATAATAACATATTGATTAACCTATTACGTATAGGAACAAGGGGAATACATTACTGATTCGCTTTCATAACGATGTAATATGTCAATGTGTGGCAACAGACTGTCATTCATTCAACCGTTTACTAAGCTCTGCGTTGTTAGTTTTAAAAGCAGTTCCTGCCAGTAATGCGTTTCGTACGTCATAGGCCAGCTGCGAATAACTGATATTAACTTAGCGGCAAGAAACCCAATGCTAATTCGTTTTCAACGTCATAACTGTACGGTCGTGAAGTTAAGCCCCTGCGGAAAGTTTTTCGACGATACGCAATACAGGACTGTCTGAGATGTTGCTGCAGTTCGTAGGGGTTTATAATTTTATTATGTTTTCTTTACACAACGTGCATAAAATGAAATCAGTGATCTCATAATGATGAGCTGGTGTTCGTTCGTCTGTTTATCCGTCAATAAGTTCCATATCTATAACTACAAGACTTATTTTTGTGAAATTTGTTAATGATGGTCTACAGTAACCCGGTGTCCTACGTGAGCGATTAAATGCGAGCGGTGCGAGTTGCGTGGGTGAAGCGGAAATATCAAACTGGCTGTTTGTGTGGCGCTGTCCTAGGTTACAGCGAAACGGTCAGCGGCCAAAGTCCGAGATCAAATATTTTGATATTTTAGCGCAGGTCGCTGCGCTGGCCAGTAAGGCGCATGCGCAGAAAAACTCTGACTGTGCAGTACAGGGAAGGTGCATGCGCAGACAGACCGTGTGCTTCTATTGCGGTCTCTCACGTAGGACACAACAAGCGATTCCCTTATGTCATATGACACCCCATGCTGCTTATGCAGCTCGCATAGCTCGCTTGTTATCGCTTACGGACGACATTGCCTAAGAACTGTAAGGTGAATTTATTTTTTATATTGTCTCAATATAACCTTTGTTTGGCATTTTGTGCCTTCGGTCAAATGCAGTTCATGAGTGCATTGAAGATTTTACAGTATCATGCAATTATTCCTAAAGCCTTTGAGCTAAAATTCATATTTCATATGAAGTTTGGAACCTCCGTATTTTAATGCATAGCATTAGAATGGTGCTAAGATAGGGCTTACTTATTTGTTTGTGTTTAATATAAACTATGTATCTGATTGAATTAAGCAAATTTTATTTAAAACAGCTTTTTTTAAGGTAAATATTTAATTAAATACATGGACAATTATCATTTCTCACTCTATGCATTATGGTAGTTGACAGTTATGGTGTCCTAAAACGGGGTCTCAAATGCAGTAAAAGGTTAAAATCTACAATAAGTGAACATCGGGAAAGTGTATTTTAAAATGAAGCACACTTTTACACTTTTATTTAATTTCTAAGAAACGTAACATTCGAGTAGGCGCGCGGGCTGTATATAATCGACATTTCAATGTATTCCGAAATGGATTCTCCTTACTACACTTTACTTAATGATCTCCTACAGTGTGTTCATTATCCGCACTTTTATGCAATAAGAAACTGAAAGTTGCCTTTGAAATCGGATAAGAAATATTCAGCGTAAAGATAGCTGAAAATTGTAAGAAGTTTCTCCGAAACGAAGGTAATTTAAGTAACTTCTTCGCCTTTATTTTCCATCAACCAGATACTTGCTATACCAAAGTTTCTAGAACTTTAATAGATTGTAGGAACATGTCTATCTCTTATAAGGTTGTCCACTGTATTGTCACACATAAGAAGCTCTATATATTTTACTCACCTCTTGTTCTCACCTATACGACAAAAATCGATTGTAACATTCTGCAGACTGTAGTGGGGGTAAAGTATGACGATCATCTGTGGACATTAAGGAAGTGAGAAGAGAAGGAACGTCA